ATATCCTTATTTTTCAGCTTTTTCATGCTTCCCAAAATAAATTAAACTCTGATTTGGACATGCAGTCTGTTTTCATCAAAATAGCTGGGTTACTTTGGGGCAGTCATTCACTCTCAGCCCTACTCACCTGACACGGTTATTTGTTGTGAGGGGAGGAGGGAAAAGAAGTATTAAGAATTTTTTTCTGCCTTGAGTTACTTATAAAGTAATAAAGGGAGAATAAAACCAAATTAATAAGTATAAAAATAAAAAAATAACTAGCCTTCAAAGCTTTCAAAATGTAGTACGTAACATTTCTTTGTTCATTGTTCACCTAGCTTCCAAAAACTTATGCTCTTTCTGAATTCAGAACAGATCCATATTACCTGTTCTTTCTAAATACTTAGAGGGACCTCTGAAACCTAATAAAGATAATACCTATAGATAAATGTCTGAAGAAATTTATAATTACCTTTTTTTTTCTCTTTAGAAAATCAACCACTCAGTCTGAAAATGGAATGAGTCCTACTTTTCCTTCTGCTAAGAAGCACAGTTGAAATATTCAGCGGCCAACTATCATGCCTTTGGGAAACGGGTCCTATGAGGTCGTGCCTAAATCCCAAATCAAAAGACATAATTGCAGAAGTTAATGGAGATATTCTTGAGCTAAAAAAGAAAACACTCAAGAATTTAATATATTTCTTTTCCCCCCCTTTTTTTATTAAGTTTTTATTTTCTTTTATAACATACAAAAGTTCCAATTTCAATTGAAAAATGTGTTGTCTGGGTAAAAATCATTTTAGGAAATAATAATCAAAGTGTTCACAATAATATTCCTTGCAGTAATATCAATTATATTATTATTATTATTATTATTATTATTATTATTATTATTATTATTATTATTTACAATTGTCCCGATTGTAATTGGAGCCCTTGGAGCAATACCCAAAGGGCTACCCCGCTATTTAGAAATTCTAAATTTGCCGGACTTGAACATTTTGACTCTACAAAAAACCATCTTACTCGGGACAGCTTACATCCTCCAACGATACCTTAACAGTTCCTAGGTCCTTGGTTAGGACTCGAGCTGCTGAGCTATTAACCAGCCTCAAAGGCTGTGAATCTCACTAAAGATTAACCAATAATAATAATAATAATAATAATAAAAAGTTTAACCAAGTTAACGTATCTTCCTTATATCATTGATCCTTCCATATGTTTCTACCTCCTATTTTTGTAAGCTAGCCATTGATAAAATAAGTCCCAAGTTAAAAAGTATTCAGTTTCTTTCTTTTCCTCAATTGTACGTGTTAGCTTATCCATTTCTGTACATTCTAATATTTTACTAATCACATCATCATCTGTTGGGATCTCTTAGTTTTTTCATTGTTGTGCAAATACTATTCTCACTATAGTCAATACATATAAAATCAAATATGCATTCCATTTGTTATACTTGTCTGGTAAAATATCCAACAAAAATGTCTCTGGTTTCAAATCTATAGGTTCTTTTATCATTTTTTCCAGGCATGTATATATTTTTGTCCAATATTTTTTCACTTTTTGACAAGTCCACCACATGATAGTATGAACCAGGTGTTCGATGATTTTCCAACATTTTGCAGATTTATCTTTAAACATCTTTGCTAACCTTGAGGGCGGAAAAAGCCATCTATAAAACATTTTATAAAGATTTTTTTGTGTGTGCAGTAGACATTGTTAATTTATAATTCTATTCCATAATTTCTGCCATTTATCTAACTCTATTGAATAGGCAACATTTTTAGCCCATATATCATTTTCTCTTTACTTGTTCCTTTTCCATCTTTTGAAGCAGGGGTGGGCTTCAAAAATTTTAGCAAGAGGTTCTCTGCCCAATTGCTGGGTGGGCATGGCCTAGTCGGCCTCCTGCACCACTGAGGGGTGTGTGTGTGCGTTTTTGCCCTCCCCAGGCACCAGAGGCTTTCCTCGGGCCTCCAAGAGGGCGAAAACAGCCTCCCCAGGCTCCGGAGGCCCATTTCCGGCCTTCCTGAACTTCCAGTAGGCCCGTTTTTTGCCCTCTCCGAGCCTCCGTATGCGCCCTACACTTACTTGCATCCAAAACGGGCTGTGTGGGGACTCTTGGGAGGGGCGTGGTGGGTTGGGAGGGGCCAGATAGGAGTGGGATTTGGAGGTTCTCCGAACTGCACAGAATTGTAGCTAGAGGTTCTCCCGAACCCCTGCGAACCTCCAGCAGCCCACGCCTGTTAACAAATAGCTATATATTTTCTTTATTAATTTTTCATCTCTTTTTTTCCCTTATGGTCTGTAACTGAATGATAATGGCAATGATGAGGATGAGACCTAACATGGCACAATGGTGATGATGTTTGACTGGGTTCCAGTCTACCTTCATGGAGATTGACTTGGTCATATTGGGTCAACCATTTTTCCTTGCCCATGGTTCTTCATTGACTTGTTTGGAGGAAAACAGGAAGGGAAGAATGCTATGTTGCTTTATGCTCCTATATAAACAGCGGGGGTGGGGTGGAATATAAATCTGATAAGTAAATGAAAACGATAGATCCCTTTTGCCTTCTTTGCTGTACATTTAAAAGGGGGTGAAGTAGTCATAATTCAGAAAGCCTTGTTAATGTATTGTTGCTGCAAGTACAAAACAATGGCAACCCAACAGATTTACTTCCTTTGTTCATGTTTATGTTCATACCTATACTTGTTATCTTGTACATGTTTGACAAACAAAAGAAACAAATAAACAAATAAATAATGTGTCATTGGTTGTCCTTGTTGAAAATGGAACTTCCCCCCAGTCTGCATTCATGCATTAATTCACATATATGATCAAAGTATTGTGATGCTGGGGGTTTTTTTTGGCTTTCATGTAGGAATCCAGACATGTTTTAAAATGACTTAGGCCATTGTATAATTATTACGGATGCATTTTTGTCATAGAGGTATTTTAACTTGTATTTTTGGATTTTAAGTGTTAATAAAAGTTTTTCACTAAAAAAAAATAATGACTTAGGCCAATGTGGAAACCAACATCTAAAAGAAACCATGGCTTAGTAAGATGAGGGAACTCAGCCTTTCTGCATGAAGAGCACCAGCTTTGAGAAGACTCACAATGCCCAAACATGTTGTTTAAGATCAATATAAACTACCTTTTTGAATATAAATCAAATTCAGCCACATGCCCCATAATATAAAATAGGTCTTGTAAAATGGAGGAAGAAGTATCCTAAACATTATATGGCAATTCTGTCAGAAAAGAACATAATAATATAAGCAGTTTTTCTGTTTCATTTCATCCTCCTGATTTCCCTGAGATTTAAGCCAAGCCAGGTTATGTGGTTCCTGGCATGAAGACTGTCAATGTATTCATGACTGGCAGAGACATGATAACAAGATCAGCCAATGAATAGGGCTTAGTTATAAGGTTAGCCAATGGGAGCTGAGACAGTAAGGAGCCTGGGCATGGCTTAGCTGTGTTTAGCTCTGAGTGCTATGCTGAGAATTGAAACTGAAACTGTTTTCTCCTCTGCCTGTGTTTTGCTTGTAACTACTACCACATTGGAAGAATCAGCTATTGGTATTATTTATTCATTTTCATGTGTTCTATTATATATAAAGAGAAGTTAATGAATCCTGCTGAATCAGTTACCTGTGTGCGCTTTCTGGATTTGATTGCTGCAACAAACTCTGATAAAGACAGATTTTAAAGAGACAAAGCATCGAGTCTCACAATCACTAGCTCTACCCCAATGCTCTAACCACCAGAGGGATGACAATAACCCCGAAGTTCTCATTTATTTTGGCCTCCTTCTATACAAATGATGTTAATGAGATTTTGAGTTCAAGAACATCAGGAAGATTTCCCATAGCCTTCTTACATTGTTTTTTTTTCCCCCATGGATTCAATGAAGGCCTCAATATATAATTGTGAGCTTCTGGATCTACCCAAAAATGTAATTAAAAAGGGTACTAGAAGACCTGGTGGGTGTATTACCTTGCTTAGGTTTATTAGGAACCACAGGTTCACTGGTGTTTTTTTTGATTCAGCCTAAAATGGATCAAAAATACTTCGGCATCCAAATTAGGTCAGCCTATTGTATAAATAAGGAATGTGGTGACTCAGTGGCTAAGACACTGAGCTTCTCGATTGAAAGGTGGGCAGTTCAGTGGTTCGAATCCCTAGTGTCACGTTAACGGGGTAAGCTCCCGTTACTTATCCCAGCTTCTGCAACCTGGCAGTTCGAAAGCACGTAAAAAATGCAAGTAGAAAAATAGGGACCACCTTTGGTGGGAAGGTAACAGCGTCCCATGCGCCTTTGGCATTTAGTCATTCTCTACTGGCCAAAGCTTAAAACCAATGATATTGGGATGATCCCAGGATTGGTGGACCCAAAACACTGATGTCAAAGCCTTCCATTTGGGTTAGTTTGTAGGGGAAGAGAGACTGATGAGAAAACAGATGACTTCAGCCTTGGTGCACGTTGACCTACAAACCTTACTTTCCAAATACAGATAATCCTCAACTTACAGCATTTCGTTTTGTGACCGTTCGGAGTTACAACGATGCTGGAAAAAGTGACTTGTGACCATTTTTTTCACACTTATGACCACTGCAACATCCATATGGTCACATGATTTACATTCGAATGCTTGACAAGTGACTCACGTTTATGACAGTTGCAGTGTCCCAAGGTCACGTAATTCCCCCTTTGTGACCTTCTGACAACCAAAGTCAATGGGGAAACCAAATTCACTTAACAACTGTGTTACCAATTTAACAACTGCAGTGATTCACTTAACAAATGTGGCAAGAAAATTCGTAAAATGTGGCAGGACTCACTTAACAAATTAGCAACATAAATTTTGGGCTCAATTGTAGTCGTACATCGAGCACTACCTATAGTTATTTACTTGCAGAATATAGTTATGTGTGATGTGTGCTATTGAGTTTGGTACGCAATCTGTTGATTATTATATTATGATAATTTTAATACTGTTTTTGATTGATTACAAGCGATTTTATTAAATAGTCCTCATCATTAACTCCATGTTTTTTACATGTAACATGAGTAACTATGTAAATTTTCTAAACAAACAAACCAATAAACAAACAAACAAACAAACAAAGGCTTTGAGAAAGATTACTTTCTTCTCCTTGGGGGATTTGAGTGACCATACATGGATTTGGACTTGTATGTTGAACAGTTCTGCAATTACTCCTTTAGTAGTAAGAAGAATTATTCCTATAAAGCAAATCTGTGAAATCACAAAGATTTCTGAAGCATCTACTCATGGTTTCCCATTTTTCTAAGACCAATGGAAAAAAATGCATTTTTTCTTCACCCGTCCCATTGCCTCTTTAATTTCTTGATTTCTTAGAGAATATATCATAGGATTAAGGAAAGGAGTAATTGTGGTATAAAATACAGAAGACACTTTGTCCAGAGTGGCACTGAAGATGGGAACAAGGTACACAAAGAGGCAAGGCAGGAAGAAAAGGCTGACCACTGTCAAATGAGAGCTACAGGTGTATAGAGCCTTCCCTCCACTCTTCTTGAAGCGGCCTTGAAGCGTGCTCAGGATGATGCCGTAGGAGATCAGCAAGATGACAAAGCAAACCAGGGAGAGCAAGCCACTGTTGGCCACCATGAGTATCTCAGTGACATGGGTATCAACACAAGCCAGTTTGACTACCTGTGGAACATCACAAAAGAAATTGTCCACTTCATTTGGCCCACAGAATGGCAGCCGTAGGACCAGGAACACCTGGCTGGAAGAGTGAAGGAGACCTCCAACCCAACAGAAACACAGCAGCCTAATACAGCGTGGACGGTTCATCGTGGTTGTGTATGTCAGTGGATGACAAATGGCTACATAGCGATCATAAGCCATGAGGGTTAGGAGGAGCATCTCTGAACCCCCAAAGAAGTGTAAGAAAAAGAGCTGGGACATACAGTCCCCAAATGAGATAGTCCTGCTTTGGGTGATCAAGTCTGTTGCTAACTTGGGAACAACTACAGAACCCAAAGCAGTATCAAGGATGGATAAATTAGCTAGGAAAAAATACATGGGTGACTTTAGAAGACGTGGATCTATATGCACAGTCAATACAATGAGGAGGTTTCCCAACAGAATGGCAGTATAACACATCATAACCAGGACAGATAGAAGAAGCTGAGTTGGTCCAGATTTGGAAAGACCCAAGAAGGTGAATTCTGTGACTCTGGAGGCATTCATGAAGGTGATAGGACCTTACAAAGACAAACAACAATTATTTACTATTGCCAATTCCAGCACGTTTTCACAGTAACCAACAAAGTGTCATAGGGTACAAAGAGAAGTAATATCAACTTCAATATCTATTACTAGCTGATTCCCCCTGGTTCTTCTCTTAGATTATAGAGGACCAAGTTACTGTGATCCAGTGGATTCTTTATACTATAGTTCTGCAATTTTTTAGTAGCTACCACTTCCTCACTGAGAATGCAGCCAGAACTTTCATTGAACCAGAGAGCAAATTCTCAACTGTTGTTACACCAAATTTTGTTTTATTAAGCCATACCATTTTTGTAGGTCAAAGCCACAAAGAATCTGATTTATTTTATTTTTTTGCTTTAATTTATATGCCACCCTTCTCTGGAGACCCAGGGCGGCTTACAATGTGTTAAGCAATAGCCTTCATACTTTTGTATATTTATACAAAGTCAGTTTATTGCCCCCACAATCTGGGTCCTCATTTCACCTACCTTTGAAAGGATGGAAGGCTGAGTCAACCTTGAGCCTGGTGAGATTTGAACTTGCAGTAATTGCAAGCAGCAGTTGTTAATAACAGTGTGCTTTAGTCCACTGTACTACCCAGGCTCCCACTGTACTACCAAGGCTAAATATGACATTTCAAAGAATGTCATATTTAGCTTGTGAAGCACACTTTTCTGAAGAGATCATAATGTCATATAATTTACCTTTGCCAAACATTAAATGAAGTAGATGAGAATTATCCACCCATGTCCTGAATCTCTTTCACTAGTAATTCAGAAATGTCTGGAAACTTAAAAATGAAGAGTAGTAGCATAAGCAGCAATATGATATGCAGTATAATATGATCCAGCAGTGTGCAGCGGCATCCAAAAAAGCCAATGCAATCCTTAGCTGCATTAACAGAGGGATACAATCAAGATCAAGTGGGGTATTAATACTATTCTGTAAGACCACACCTAGAATATTGCATCCAGTTTTGGTCACCACACTATTAAAAAAAGATGTTGAGACTATAGAAAAATTGCAGAGAAGAGCAACCAGGATGATTAAGGGACTGGAGACTAAAACATATGAAGAACGGTTATAGGAACTGGTCATGGATAGTCTAGTGAAGAGAAGGATCAGGGGAGACATGATAGCAATGTTCTAATATTTGAGGGACTGCCACAGAGAGTCGGGGGTCAAGCTATTTTCCAAGGCACCTGATGGCCAGATAAGGAATAATGGATGGAAACTGATCAAGGAGAGATTCAACCTAGAAATAAGGAGAATTTTTTTTGACAGTGAGAACAATCAACCATCAGCTTGCCTTCTGAAGTTGTTGCAGCTTCATCACAGGAGGCTTTCAAGAAGACACTGGACTGTCATTTGTTAGAAATGGTGTAGAGTCTCCTGCTTGGGCAGGGTGTTGGACTAGATGACCGACAAGGTTCCTTCCAACTCTGTTAATCTGTTACTCTCCAAGGCTTCTTGGGAGCCCTCAGTAATGCTCTAAGGTATATGTACAGATATGATCTAAATGTAAGAAGCAGGGAAATCTAGCATAGAAAGAAAACTTAATCGTCCAGTAACACTCATTCAAGGTGTTAAATCCACCTAAGTCAGTGGTCCCCAACCTTTTAGGCACCAGGGACCGGTTCCGTGAAGAGACATTTTTCTGGGGACTGGAGACACCATTTTAGATTTCTTCATCAAAGAGAAGCATCTCCTACCCTTTAACAAACCATAAGACTACTTTCACCCATCACGTCAAATTTTGTCTCACTGTTTTAAAGATTTCTTTGATATCTTTAGAACATTTTCCTTTTCCTTTCCCTTCTTTTCCTCCTCTTCAACTTATTTAATCTTTTTATTTGCCATTTTAATGTGTGTTTTATGTATATATTCACATGTTGCTTAGAGACTGGAACAAAAGTTTAATTGCCTATCTTCCTAGACATCATCCCACTTCATATTGTTAGCCAGTGTTGGGTTTTTGAAGTGTGCTACCAGGAGCAATAGAAGAAATAAATAAAATCCAAAAGGAAATAAAATAAAAGAGGATCTGATCTGAGAAAAAAAAACCTATGATGGTTGTATGAGAAGACTATCCCAGTGTAATGGCAAATAATCAATTACTCAGGACAGAATTAAATAGAAAATATAAAAATAGAACATATCCATTGTTATTGTTAGCCTTCCCAAACATTTATCCAAATTAGACTAGATCTTCCTTTGGATTTGACCTATAGGAGATGACCAGGCTGAGCCCGAGGGGTGGATGGGTCAAACGCATTATCAGTCATGAATCCCTTCATGTGCACAAGAGATCTAAATCTAACCCACCTTGAATGCCTTTGACTCTTATCTATCACCAATTTGCTTTGACCATTAGTAGCTCAGATTCTTGTAACGAGCATAAACACAATGTGTTCTAAGTTTTTCTCACTAACCTGCCAATATGAGCTCAAAAACTCATAGTAGAAACCCATATTACCTGTTCATTCCAGTTGCTAAGAGGACCTCCAAGCTGGAATAAAGGTAACACCTATAGGTTAACATCTGAAGAAGTTCACCATTACCTTTTTCTCTTTAGAAAAGCAAGCAATCAGTCTAACAAGAAACAACACCTACTTCTCCTTCCAACAGTGTACCATGAAATATTTCTTAAGAAATATTTCAGTATCTTATTATTATACCCTTGGGAAAAATTCTTATGAGGCCATTCCCAGGTTCCCAATCAGGAAAGATAATTGCAAAAGCAAAAGAAGATATTGAACCAAAACGATTATATTTTATTGCATTTTTTTTAAAAAAATATGCATCATTATGGCTATGTCATGTAGAAGAGTGTGAAAGGTGGCAATGATGATGAGAGTTAATGTGCGACAGTGGTTACAAGGATTGAAAATGGGCAGTGGGGGTCCCAATTCTAGTTTATCTTCAACTATGGAAGCTTATTTGACAATTCTGGACCATTTTCTCTGACACCATCTAGATTCTAGACCTTACGATACTGGGATCGTGTACCAAAATAATTCCTTTGAATATAACTGACAGAAGGGAGATAACAGGTGGGAGAAACAGGGAAGAAAAAAGTTAGCTAGGGAAAGTAGGGAAACTTTGTGTGCAAACTTTTACTTCTGCCTAGTTATACTGTAACCAGTTAGCTTTGAGTAGTAGAAGTAATGGAGTTGAGGGTCTTTCTTTCCTAGGAGCCTCAGTTGGGGCAGGTGTGACACAATGTTTGTGGTAGTTCCAATCCCAACCTATTTCTTAGGGCTGTTGTTGATTGATTGAAAAATATGGGATACAAATCTCATAAATAAATGATGGAGATGGTGATGATCAGAAGGATGTTGATGATGATAATGATGGTCTCTTTTTTCCCCTCATATTGCAGGATGAAATGGAATTTAAATAGGATCAGAGAGGGCTGCTGTTGGAACTATTGCAATAAAATGATACTCGCAACTCTTCAGATAATGCCAAACTCTGTCCTCCATCATGCTCTGGAAGCATATCTCAAATTCAGTAACATATCCTACATTTTATTCCTGAATGTTTATGGGAATGATTGAGCTCTATTCTAAGAGCTTAATGATATCCACAAACATTCACATTGATAGGAAATCAAGAGAATAGACTATGAGTGCAAATCATTACTAACCAAAATATGGACCTGCTCCTTCCTTCCTTCCTTCCTTCCTTCCTTCCTTCCTTCCTTCCTTCCTTCCTTCCTTCCTTCCTTCCTCTCCTCTCCTCTCCTCTCCTCTCCTCTCCTCTCCTCTTACCTTCCTTCCTCCCTCCCTCCCTCCCTCCCTTCCTTCATCAAAGGGGATGGAAACATTTATAAGCAGTATACTGAACCCACATGACTTCCTAAGCAATTGAGTCTGTGTTCTTTGTCCAAATTCCTCCATGCATCAGCTTGGTCAACAAAGTGGAGGAATAACATGTGTTGGGGCTTTTAAAAGTCCATTCTATTGAAAGCAGGACATTATAATAATTCAGCAGTACATCCCTATGTCACCCATACATACTACATTATTTGAAATTTGAAACTAGCACACATTAAGTTTTAAAGCTTGGAAACCTTATCGGTCATCATTCTTCTTCAACAAGTATGTTACCTACCTGCAGACTAAGCAAGACAGAGAGAAGGCAACTCACTTACAAAAACAACGGGGATCTATTTTTACTTCCTTTCCCATTTACAGGGAGGATAATTGGGAAGTGGGTGTGGCCCACTGAGGACGCCTTAAGAGGTAGAAATAGCTATCTGGGTCTCCCAGGAAGCAACACAGAGTTGCAGTTTGTCAGCAGAAAAAGGGCCCAAGAACTTGTGAATGAGATTTCACAGAACCTAGGGCTGAAGAACAACTAAGTTTACATAGGTAAAACCTGGCTAGAAAGAATATGCATATTATATATATATATATATATAATATATATTATATATATATATATATATATATATATATATATATATAAAAATTATAAGTATAAACTAAACAGAACAATGAAACGTATAAAACATAAAAACATATAAACATCCATTTCAATACAACATATATATTTTCTAATAATTAATAGACAAGCATTGGTTTTAAAAAGTTATTCCTGCATTATCTGGGAGATCTATAAGTCATAGATCGGTGGACCATGTCCCTTATTACTTATGTAGTGATAAGAATAACTCCAGAAAAGATTATCGCAAGGACCAAAATGGAATTTTGGAAATTCAACTTATACTTTTCCTTTCTTCTGATACCAATCCTTAAACATGAATTTCTTTGTCACCCGGCCCATTGCCTCCTTCATTTCCTGATTTCTTAGAGAATAAATCATAGGATTAAGGAAAGGGGTAATTGTGGTATAAAATACGGAAGATATCTTGTCCAAACTGGAGTTGAAAATGGGAATGAGGTACACAAAGAGACAAGGTAGGAAAAAAATGCTGACCACCATCAAGTGAGAACTACAAGTGTACAAAGCTTTCCCTCCACTCTCCTTGAAGCGGCCTTGAAGTGTGTACAGGATGATGCCATAGGAGATCAGCAAGATGATGAAACAAACCAGGTTGATCAGGCCACTATTGGCCACCATGAGTATCTCAGTCACATGGGTGTCCACACAAGCCAGTTTGACTACCTGTGGAACGTCACAAAAGAAATTGTCCACTTCCTTTGGTCCACAGAATGGCAGCCTCAGGATCAGGAACAGCTGGCTGCCAGAGTGAAGGAGGCCTCCAGCCCAACACCAACACAGGAGTCTAAAGCAGCGTGGACGGTTCATCTTCATTGTGTATGTCAGTGGATGGCAAATGGCCACATAGCGATCGTAGGCCATGAGAGTAAGAAGAAACACCTCGGAACCTCCAAAGACATGTAGAAAAAATAGCTGGGACATACAGTCTGCATATGAGATGGTGCTACCACGGGTGATAAGATCTGTTGCCATCTTAGGAACAACCACTGAACTTAAGGCAGTATCAATGATGGATAAATTGGCTAGGAAAAAATACATGGGTGACCTTAGAAGGCGTGGATCTATATGCACAGTTACTACAATAAGGAGGTTGCCCAACAGAATGGCAGTGTAACATATCATTACCAGGACAGATAGAAGGAGCTGGATGGGCCGAGAACTGGAAATACCTAGGAAGACAAATTCTGTGATTTTCGAGGCATTCATGAAGGCAACAGGACCTTACAAAGAGAAAAGACAGTTATTTAGTGTTGCCACTTTCAGGATCTTCTCTTCCTAATCATTGACCACATGGCTTTCTGTTCAGGTATCAATAAAAATGAAGAGCACTCAATGAACCATATAGTAGAAAGAGAAATAATGTCAATTTCAGTATCTATTATAAACTTCCTGGTACTGCTATAAATTAGAAATATAGAAAACTGATGGCAGGTAGAGAAGGAAAAGAAGGACAAGGGGAGACATGATAGTAGTGTTCCAATATCTCAGGGGCTGCCACAAAAAAGAGGGAGTCAAGCTATTCTCCAGAGCACCTGAAGGCAGGACAAGAAGCAATGGGTGGAAACTAATCAAGGAGAGAAGCAACTTAGAACTAACGAGAAATTTCCTGATAGTTAGAATTATTAATCAGTGGAACAACTTGCCTCCAGAAGTTGTGGGTGCTCCAACCCTGGAGGTTTTAAAGAAGAGATTGGACAACCATTTGTCTGAAATGGTACAGGGTTTCCTGCCTGAACAGGGGGTTGGACTAGAAGACCTCCAAGGTCCCTTCCAACTCTAGTATTCTATTTTATTCTAAAGACCTAGTGGTCCATCAACTCTTTCTGTAAAGTAATAATTTCAGTTTGAGGTTATGATTTTTGCTTAATATTGAAAATGCTGCCTTTGAAAAAATTTTCACGCCCTTAATATATTTAAAGATTTCAATCATGTTCCCTATTTCCCTTCTGTCCTTGAGGCTGTACATATTCAGTACCTCCAATTTCTCCTGATACATTTTGTCCCTCAAACCTTGCACCATTTTTGTTGCCCTTACTAAAGAAAAAAAAAAACCCAAACCCTTAGATTATAGAGGTTTGAGTTACCATGATCCAGTGGATTCTTCATACTGTAATTCTTCAATATTTAGTGGGCTACCACTTCCCTACTGGAATGGAGCCAGAACATGCATTGAACTAGAGAGCAAATTCTCAATTCTTTCTCCATCCAATTATTTGTTTTATTAATCTTTACCACTTTCATAGTGACAGAAACAGAAAGCATCTGATTTCAAAAAAATTCATTACTGACCAGGAGACAAATAGGGGTATAAGAATCAAGTTTTGGAAATCTGAACAGTTACCTACAGAAGACAAAATAATAGCTAAAATTACAGAATGCGCAGAATTGGATAAGCTTACAAAAGAAATACAAGAGAAAGATGATACTGATTACTATTTAGTATGGCAAAGATGGTACGGCTGGCTGGAGGCAAAAATAGGAATACAAAGATAATTTATGACTAATCAATAGAAATGTATAGTAGTAAATAAGGAATCAATTATATATATATATATATATATATATAACCATGTAAACAGATGATTATAGACATTGACATAAATAGAAAAATGGAAAATACCCCACCGTTATAGTAACTTCTAAGAGTCAGTCATTGGACTGAATCGATGTTTGTTAGTTTTGTATGTCATTTTATGTATTTATGTTGGTTTTGTTTTTTCTTTTTATTATTAATAAAAATTTATAAAAAAAAAAAAGAATCAAGTTTTAATTACTCACTAACTGTGACAATAATTTTCAGATTCTAGTAAAATGTGCAATGCAGCATGATTCTGGGGTCCTTGGTGCTCTCTGAGCTTGGCTGTTTTCTAGCATACATTTCGTTACCCAACTAGATAACTTCATCAGTGCTAGAAGGGAGTTGGGTCTCTGTTTATATACAAATTGTTTGCCCTGTCAGTATTGGTATGTTCCTGGTGGTTCCTTGATTAGACCCTTGTTTGATTGTTTGTCTGTGTTGGTGGTTCTTTGATTTGGGGCATTGTTTACTGCTTGATTGTTGGCCTAGTACCAATATTGGTGTTAATTTCTGTATCTGGGTGTTGATTGCTGGCAGGAGGTTTTTATTGTACACATGACTTGCACCTTATGTTTGGGATATTGTTCTCTGGCAGTAAGGTAGGCAATGCTAATCCATGTTCATACATTCTCTAGCTGACCTGCATATTTCTATGTCTGTCTGTCTGTCTGTCTGTCTGTCTGTCTGTCTGTCTCTCTCTCTCTCTCTCTCTCTCTCTCTCTCATGTCTGTCCGTCTGTCTGTTCATCCATCCTTCCCTCTATTCTATCATCTCAACCTATCAAGCACTCAAAGAGTTTTTTGACCCACGGTTCACTAGACTTCTCACTTGCTTCTAAAGCTACTTTAGATATTGGTAATCCATGTCACTGCTCGTAGAATGAAAGCATTCTGTTCCCTCCCCATTTGCACATAAGCTACACAACTCCCACAATGTTGCCAATTCGATACAGCAATATAGGACATCTACTGTACAACCCATATAAAAATATAGCGTATTCATCCACCCTGTTTTAGATCTCTTCACCAGAGAGAAGTATCTTATAACTTTTAGCAGTTCATAAAGCCACTATCACCCATCATGTCAAGTTTTGCCTCACAGATGCATTTGTTTGATATCAGTAAAACATTTTCCTTTCCCCTTCCATTCTTTTCTTCCACTTTATTTTACTTCTTTTATGTGTGTGTGTGTGTGTGTATATATATACATGTATATGTTAGTGCAAAATGACTACTGGCATAAGCCTGATGATGGCAGATGGGATTCTGCCAAAACGTCGCTTCTACCCTTTTAGGGATATATCCACAATTACACGGGAAGAAACCCGAAATATTAACTATACACACATACATACCCGTGAAAACTTACATAAACAAATATATATACATATATATACATACATATACACACACACACACACGCACATATATATATATACACACATACATGTATGTATATGTATGTATGTATTCACATGTTGGTCAAAGACCATAACAATGGTTTACTTGCCTAGACATCATCCCACTTCATATCCTTCATATCCTTAGTCTGTATTGTTAGCTAGTGTCAGCTTGCATTACAATGGTTTTTGGGCTGTGCTTCCACGAGTAATGAAAAAAATAAAAAGTCCAAAAGGGGGGGAAAAAAAAAAGAAGAAGAGATTATTTGACAAAAAAAAAATCAGATGTCTATGAGTATTAATTACCCAGGACAGTACAAGTAGGAAATATAAAAATAGAATCTACTGGTTTTTATTCTCAGCCTTTCCAAACATCTATCCAAAATAGATGAGATCTTTCTTTGCATTTGACATGTTCTAATTTTTTTCTCAGGAACCTATCAAAATGACCTCAAAAATTCTGAAACTGACCTCTAATATCCATTGTCCATTGCTTACCTGTCTTCTAAACAATTATTCTTTTCTGAAATCAGGTAGCAGACACCCAAATTACTTCTTAATTCCAGTTGCTAACAGGACCTCCAAGATGGAATAAAGATAACACCTATAGGAGAAATTCTGGAACAAAGATAACACTTACAGGAGAAATTCTGGAATAAAGATAACACCTATAGGAGAAATTTCTCATCTGGAGAAATTCACCATTACCTTTTTCTCTTCAGAAAAGCAAGCAATCAGACTAACAAGAAATAACATCTACTTCTCCTTCCAACAGTGTACCAAGAAACACTTAAGAAATATTTCAGTGTCATGTTTTATACCTTTGGGAGACATTCTTATGAGGCCGTTTCCAGTCAAGAAAGGTAACTGAAAAAGCTACAGAAGATATGGTTGAAGTAAAGAAATCAGTGCTTTATATCTTTCCATCTAATATGTACTGTTATGATCTATGTCATGTATAAGATAGTGAAAGATTATAATGATGATGTTGAGAAGTAGTGTGGAATAGTGGTTAACAAAGTTGAAAGGGGGCAGAGGGACCCAAGCTTTAGATTAGCCTCAACTACAGAAGGTCATTGGTTAACTTTGGGCTACTTTCTTTAAAAAGGTCAACCTCCCCTAAAAATCCAAACACCAAAATGGACATAAATGGACGATGAAAACAATACAATGAAATATTTGAATTTATGGCAACAATGTACATCTAAAAGGTTCCTCACATCTCCACTTTATGTAATAGGTTTGCTTTTGACTTTCCATACGTAAATTCAACCACCATATATGCTTGTGTACTTATGTTCTTATTAACATACAGTGCAAAGCATGTTTAGTTTTACCATTTGCTTCATTGACGAATTTATGAATCACTATATGGTATGATCCTCAAATAGTTCACCTTTCAAGATAAGTTTGTTGTACAAATAAAACCCATATTTTTGTGTTTCTCAGAGGCCAAATTCTTGTGAATCCATCCCTTAGAAGGGAAAACCTTTTTTAGTTCTTTTGTTTTGATTGGATCTACAGTAGGGGTGGGTTCTACTTACCTTTACTACCAATTTGCAATGGGCGGGTAGGCTCACTTCTGCACATGTGCAGATCATCCATTATGACATCTGGGTGGGTGGGCGGAGCCTCCTGCCACTTTTACTACCGGCTCGCAAGAACCGGAGAAGAACTGGGAGCAACCCACCACTGATCTACAGTCAACAACAGTATGATATTCCTAGAATTGATGAGGTCAAAATGTTGACACCATATTTTTTTTTCATTTGGAAGAGGTATGGGTACAGTTTCATTGGAAAATGGGAGACTTAAGCCTTGATAGTCACATTGCTCTATAAAACTTACTTTCCAAATAGGAAAACATAGCCAGTTCTTTGCAGTCAAACATATTCCTTTATTTGTTCATTAGAATTATTCATCTCTTTTGTTCTTGAGTATTTCATTTTAATCCATAAATGACATGCTATGACTAACTCCTCAAGACCTTCAGGGAACAATGAAAGGCTAAAGCCTCTATAAAGTGTAAAGCACTCATGTTTCCACTAAAACTAGAGCTCCAATGTCCCAAAAGGAAATATTGACTTATATGTTTGATTGTGCTTATATCAGCAGCCATGGATGGGAGGTGAGGTGCTGAAGTTCACTACCACTGCCATTATACATACAATAGTAGGAACTACAATACCAAATAAAATTATCTGAAACAAGCAATGTTTTTTTTAAAAAAAATCTACTCATCCTTCTACTTCTTTCTGAGACCAGTGGGAAAACATTAATTTCTTCCTCACCCGTCCCATCGCCTCTTTCATTTCCCGATTTCTTAGAGAATATATCATAGGATTAAGGAAAGGCGTGATTGTGGTATAAAATACAGAAGACACCTTGTCCAGAGTGGTACTGAAGATGGGAACAAGGTACACAAAGAGGCAAGGCAGGAAGAAAAGGCTGACCACTGTCAAGTGAGAGCTACAGGTGTACAGAGCCTTCCCTCCACTCTCCTTGAAGCGGCCTTGAAGCGTGCTCAGGATGATGCCGTAGGAGATCAGCAAGATGACGAAACAAACCAGGGAGAGCAAGCCACTGTTGGCCACCATGAGTATCTCAGTGACATGGGTATCAACACAAGCCAATTTGACTACCTGTGGAACATCACAAAAGAAATTGTCCACTTTATTTGGCCCACAGAATGGCAGCCGTAGGACCAGGAACACCTGGCTGGAAGAATGGAGGAGGCCTCCAACCCAACACCAACACAGGAGTCTAATGCAGCGTGGTCTGTTCATTGTGGTTGTGTACGTCAGTGGATGACAAATCGCTACATAGCGATCGTAGGCCATGAGGGTTAGGAGGAGCATCTCTGTACCTCCAAAGAAGTGTAGGAAAAAGAGTTGGGACATGCAGCATCCAAATGAAATGGTTCTGCCACAGGTGACCAGATCTGTTGCTACTTTGGGGACTACCACTGAACCCACAGATGTATCAATGATGGATAAATTGGATAAGAAAAAATACATGGGCAGTTTTTTAAGATGTGGATCTACACGCACAGTCAGTACAATGAGAAGATTGCCAAACAGAATGGCAGCATAGCACAACATGACCAGGGCAAACAGAAGGAGCTGAATGGACCGAGACCTGGAGAGACCCAGTAAGATGAATTCGGTGACTCTGGAGGCATTCATGAAGGTGGCAGGACCTTGCAAGAAGAAACAAGAAATCTTTGTCATTACAACTTTCTCATACTAATCAGTGACAACATGGAACAGTGAACAATATTGTTTTTCTATTTGAATAAAAAGTAAAATGTACTCCTTCTGTCATGTAATGCAAAGAGAAAATATTGAAATGAACATTTTTTTTTTACAATAGTTTGCAGTGAATTATTTCCTTTCACATTCTGCTCTGGCTTACATTACGCCTGAAGCCTTATTGTGGACTAGGGATGCTGGATTTTGTAGTTCTGGAATGTTTGGCTATTTACAGTTCCACAGTCCAGCTGGGGAAAAATCCATCATTTTAACTAAAGTGAGCTGAGATTCTGGAACCCTAATACCAGGAGTGAAATCCAGCAAATTCTGGAAATTTTGAGCAATTCGGAGAACTGGCAGCGGAAATTTTGAGTAGTTCGGAGAACCGGCAAATACCACCTCTGGCTGGCCCCAGAGTGGGGTGGGAATGGAGATTTTGCAGTATCCTTCCCCTACCACGCCCACCAAGCCATGCCCACAGAACCGGTAGTAAAAAAATTTGGATTTCACCACTGCCTAATACCACCATCACCAAATATTGAGCTTTATGGTCTCAATATTTCATTTCGTAGATCACCGAGTCTCATTAAAGCTTCTTCTGTTAAACTTGAACTTTATTCACCTTATTAAAAGGGTTAATTTATTATTGGGTGACTGTCTTTCCCAGGCCTGGAAGGTGTATAAAAGAAGCATTTTCTTGTAGAATATCATATATATCTATAATAGATTATTACATATTAATATTAGTAGCAGTAGCAGTGAGTTCTAAGGGAATGGATTTGTTTTACATTTGAAAAACAATGAAATCTAAAGTCATACTTAACAACAAAGATATAGCTAATAAGTCAAAAGGAATTGGGTTGAGGATAATGAGAACTGATTCCTGCATCCAACTAAGATCCATCTAAGCTGTGATTCTTTGCAAGACTCTCTGTTTCTTGCTTCTATGAAAAAAACAGATAATGTATCTAATAAATTAGATACTGACATCCTTTTTCCTCTTTTCCAAACTACTTTCCCATTTTTTTCAAGGCGAAAATTAGCACCCTTTCAAAAATTCATACCCATTTGCCCAGAAACAATTCCACTGCAGAAAATATTTACATTTTGGAAATATTTCCAAATAATCACAAAAATTCAAGACATAATCTTGAAAACCTGATCCTGTACACAAACTACTAACACTTAACCAGGAAGGGGGGAAAAAAACCTCTCCATCATAAGATTAAACATGATAGACCCAGCAAATAAAGCAAATAATTTTCAGGCTCATGTGAAATGTTTAGTTCATGAAATCATGCACATGACTGATCAGAAGCTAGTACAATGTTTCTGTGGAACTATTCTCCACAATATAAGTATATACTTGCAGTATAAAAGCATATAGATAATGTAATTAAAGTTTGTAAAGATATACAGTGCATATAGTTATACATGCAGATATACACATGGTATATATCTACTCTTTTATACTGCAGTGCAATTGCAGTGTTAAAATATTCTGGGCAACACTCACAGACACATATACACCCCTACCTATGAGACTTCTGTGATCCACAGGGCACTAAAGAGACTGCTTCATCTTCAGCATCCATATTTGCTATCATCTATGGAGATTCTAGGTCATCCAGGTCATGGTTGTCCCAAAGGTGCTTTTTCAAAAGGCAATTGGACTTTGTTTTTTGTTTTTTTCCTTGAAGACATTTTACTTTTCATCCAAGAAGCTTCTTCAGTTCTAAATCAGTTCAATTGCCTTTTGAAAAAAGTTCAATTGCCTTTTGAAAAAAGCACCTTTGGGACATATTTGCCATTCTGTTGTTCTTTGGAGATGCCTGCTTGCTTCCAAAACTACCCTGGATGTTAATTTAGCAACAAGTTTCTAGGTTCCCAATAACACATAGGCAATAGAACACCCACAAGTCTTGCCAATTTGACCAAAAAGTAGGATACCTATAACCTATACTTCTCTCCAAAAGAAATGTATTATGTTTGCCAATCGATTTTGCATCTGTTCCCCGAAGGACACATATCTAAATGTTTTGGTACACCTGATTTGGGTTTCTAGCTGAGGGTTCACTTAAGGCATCCTTCTTTCAGGACAATTAAAAGAAGGAATCCCTGTTAATTGTGCTTTAATTTAGTTCAATAAAGTATGATTTCTCTATACAGCCAAGGTCCATCTAAGCCATAAATGCCCCAGCTTCATAGTTTTACAAAAACTTGTCAGTAGGATATTGATGTCTCTGTTCTCCTCTCTTCTGTCTTTCATAGTGTTCTCTCCTAGGGAAGAATTTCCCCTCTTTAAAACGATCCATCATGTGTTTCCTTCACTGGAAGTAACCTCAAAGACTTCCCAAAGTTAATACAACTTTTTAATCACTGTAGGTCATTACAAACATCAATCATACTTTGGATATAATTCCTGAGAAATCTGGGCTATGCACAAATATTGGCCAGGAGAGAAAACCAGTTATGGAAAAACCAGCTAAGTATTTGTATACCCGCTAGTTCCAGCAAATAATTATCAGAGTTGTATCAGTCATTTACTGCAGTGCAATTCTACACAAGAATAAGTCTACTGAATTCAAGAAAAAATATGCCTAGTGTGGATATGTTTGGAGCTTGACAGCTGCTCTGAAACCCAAGAATGAAATATATATTGTGTTTGTAAAACACAGCCAGAGATATAATTCACTGACCTGCTAGATACTGAAGTCACTGCTTTTTACCATTGAAAATGTTGCTAATTTATTTTCATCCGGATTTGTGATCCTCTTTCATTTTAAAGAGATTGTTGGTTTGCATTTAATTTTAGATCCATTTCAGTGGTATTAGAATGAGAGATCCTTTCCACTAAGGTTTTTTTTTTTTAATTATTATTATTTTTTAATTTGATTTATATGCCGCCCTTCTCTGGAGACTCAGGGCAGCTTACAATGCGTTAAGCAATAGCCTTCATACTTTTGTATATTTATACAGTCAGCTTATTGCCCCCACAAACTGGGTCCTCAATTTACCTACCTTAGAAAGGATGGAAGGCTGAGTCAACCTTGAGCCTGGCGAGATTCGAACCTGCAGTAATTGCAGGCAGCTGGTCTTAATAACAGGGTGCTTTAAACCACTGTACTACCAAGGCTGTACTACCAAGGCTCTACCAAGTTGAATGATGATTGACTGATTGATTGATTGATTGATTGATTAGGTGTCATCAAATCATTTTTGACTCCTAGTTACCATATGGAAAGATTCTTTCCAAGACACTAAGACATAAGTAACACCAGGAATTTATAATATACACTCCCTCCAAATTCTTCTTGTAGTTGTTAATCATGTATCGTATTGTAATGTTGAAAGCCACCCAGAGTTACTCTGTAGTAAGATGTTCCAAAGGTGCTTTTCAAAAGGCAATTGGACTTTGTTTTTTTGCTTGAAGATGTTTCACTTCTCAACCAAGAAGCTTCTTCAGTTCTGACTGAATAGTGAAGAATGGAAGGATTTATATCCCTTGAAAGGATCCTTCCATTCTCCACCATTCAGTCAGAACTGAAGAACTTCTTGGATGAGAAACAAAATTCTTCAAGCAAAAAAAAACCCAAAGTCCAATTGTCTTTTGAAAAAGCATCTTTGGGACAACCATGATCTGGATAACTGAGAATCTTTGTAGACATCTGCAACCAATAAATTTCATTTACAACAACAATCACAACCACAACAATAATATATGAGAAATTTATTTTAGGTCTTTTCCCTTCAGATCAGCACAACAGAATGTTGTGATACTATCATAACCTGGTTCCTCCCTAAGTAGACTTTTAAAGCCATCTCTCTTTCATGGTTACTTACTGTCCATTTCTTTGGGCCAAGACATTCTTCCCCTTCTTCTTCCCAGATTTGGTTTTGTGAGCTAGCACTGAACTGCATTAGGATATCTTCAGAGCTGAGGTTCCTGAGCGGTGAAGGAAAGCATAAAAAGAAAGAATAAAGGGGTATTAGGAACTTCAAATATTTATCTCCTAAGAATATCTTACACTTAGTGTTCTGGTGCAAAGGCAAACAACTGATTTGCTATGACAATTTCAAATGAAGCATTCAGATATAGTTCCTTTTAGAACTATGGAATTTTAGTCCCATGTTTTCCTGCTTCCCTTTATTCTCATTTCGTGCATAAATCCACCTTACCAAAAGAGGCCAGAGACATATTTCTATCAGTTGGAACTTCATTAAAGAAGAATAAAAATAGCTTCAAAAACTCTCAACCTGGACATTGCATCCTTCCTTTGAACATTGATCCTGATCTCCCCCCAACTTATTCTTCTTCTAGAACCATGAGACAGAGATCCATAGTACCTGCTCATTCCAGTCACTTAGTGGCTTCTTCAAGCTGGAATGAAGGTAACTCTAAACCGTGATTGTCTTTTTCTTCTTCCAGAAGTGGAAAATCAAGAACACCATCTGACAAGGGAAGGGCTCTTGCTTTTCCTTCCTCCAGGGCATCAATCAATACAAATAAAGCATTTCAGTGACCCCTTATTAGGCCTTTGGGACAATGGGCTTATGAGCCTTTTCTTAGGTCTCCAGTCAGGGGAGATAACTGCAGAAATCAAAGGGCATATGGTTGAAATTGACTAGGATAGTTGGATCTCTTATATGGAAGCTAATTTTTATGGTCTCTGGTCTGAGGAAAAAAATGGATGATTGATGATGATGATGATGTTGTTGATGATGATGATAGAATTGTAAGCTGCCCAGAGTTACTTGGTTGAGTTGGGTAGCTATAGAATTTGATTGAATGGATGAATGAATAAATGATGGTGATAATTACAACTCAAACACTGGGGATGCAGCATACCCCCACAGCTGTTTTCACTTTCAGGAGGCTTCAGGGAGACCTCCTAGGCCCAAAATTGAGTTTGGGGGGCAGAACCACACTGCGGCCCGCTTTTGCTCCCAGGAGGCTGCAGGGAGGCCGAGTGTTGCCTATCACCCCCTGGCCATGCCCACCATGGCCACGCCCACCTAGCCAGTCATTAGGGCAGAGAACTGGTTGTTAAATTATTTGAATCCCTCCACTGTTCTGATCCACTATCAATAGAGAAGACTCAACCTTCTGGTCCTGCTATGTATCTCCACTGTTGCCAATACAAAGGGCTATGGCACTAAACTAGCAATAGCACTTAGACTTATATACCAGTTTATAGTGCTTTACAGCCCACTCTAAGCAGTTTACAGAGTCAGCATGTTGCCTCCAACAATCTGCATCCCCATTTTACCGACCTCAGAAGGATGGAAGGCTGAGTCAACCTTCAGCCAGTGAGACTCGAACTGCCAAACTGTAGTCAGCAGTCAGCAGAAGTAGCCTGCAGGATTGCATTCTAACCACTGTGCCACAATGGCTCGAAATAATGAAACATTAGGAGACTGGAGGTTAAAACATGAAGAACAGTTGCAGAAAATGGATATGTCTAGTTTAATGAAAAGAAGGACTAGGGGAGACATGATAGCAGTATTTCAATATCTCAGGGGCTGCCACAAAGAAGAGGGAGTCAAGCAGTGGTGAAATCCAGCCGGATCTATCCAGCTTTCACGAACCAGTAGTGCCAATGGCGCAGGGGTGGGTTCTAAATTTTTTTACTACCAGTTCTGTGGGCGTGGCTTATTTTATGGGTGTAGCTTGGAGGTCATGTGACTGGTTGGGCGTGGCTAGCTGGTCATGTGACTGGGTGGCCATGGCTATGTGTATAGGGACTACCCAGAGGGCTGAAAAAAGTGGTTTCTGACAGGTCCTCGCACTTTTGACCAGTCTTCGCACTTATGACTGGTTATCATTTATGCCCATTGTAGCATTCTTAACAACCGTGTCACAACTGCTTCTCTTCACCATGGTGACAAGATAGAGCAAAATCGTAAAATGTGAGGACAGTCGTAAGTTTGAGGACTGGTCAAAAGTGCAAGGACCAGTCAAAAACAACTTTTTCAGCCCTCTGAGTAGTCCATATGCATAAAAGGATACAGCAATAGAGAGGGATGAAGAAAGGGAAGGGAAATTAGAGTAGGAATGAGGGTAAGAGAGGGAGGAAGAGAGGAGGAGAAGGAGAAAGGAAGAGGAAGTAGGGAGGAGAGGAAGTGTGGGGGGAAGAGAAAGTAAGAAGGAAAGAAAAGAGAGAGGTGGTAGGTTTGAGGAGAAAGATTGCTGTCCCATAAAAAAGATGAAAGGGAAGAAAGCCAACCCCAAACAAATATAAAGATATTAAGATAAAGAATGAATTGTTAAACTGTAAAGAATAAAAGAGAACAAATATGAATAAATAGCAATAATTAGAAACACACATACAAACATACAATGTATTTTCTTTGAACAGAGTACTTGGCCAGTTCACAAATTTAAACAGTGTTTAGTCATTTCAATTAAATTTACAATTTCTATATTTCCTTTTTGCCATATTTATTCCTCATCTATTTTTTTTAAAAAAAACAATATTACCCTTCATCCTCATCTCTAATGTTAATCCAATTCATTTTTTCCCTTCTATTCTATATTATACCCCTTCCCGTTGTCATCTATTTTTATAGCCATCCTCACATTGCTTAATTATGTAATATTACAGTTGTTTAACACAAATTCAACATTTTAATATAAATCAATTAGTTATATAACTACCTTTTTTGTATATTAATCAATATGAAAATGAATACTCCAATTATTTCCATGCAATCAATTTCTTACAAATCAATTAATTATATTTACCAATAATAATAAACCAAATAATTTCCCCCATATATTCCTCCAAACTACAATTTAACCATTTCTGCTTTCAACACAATATACAATTAATAGTATCTCAATTATCACAATTCGCTAGTTAAATAGAGCCTTTTTTCTTTTATGTTTTAAAATCTTGAACTCTCCTCTTTTGCCCTAAATTTCCCATTGTTTGCAGTTTTGCACCTACCTTTTTTGGTGAGGAAAAAGAAATCTCTTTCTGCCTCATTTTGTCACGTTGCAGCAAAGACCCTGCTTTACTTTCAGTTTTGTTTTTTCAGCATAGCTAGGGGGGGGGGAAATCTGCTCCAACACTCTTTGCAGCTAGCAACAGAACAGAGCCCTGCGCAAAAGAGCTGAGAGCAATCTAATCAACTTGTGCTAATTAACCTATGGTGAAGCTGAAAGGGGCTGTTTTTTCTATTTTTGCAGGCACTGGTCTACTCATTTGTTTTCTTTTAACACTGATCAGCTGTAGGGCGGTCCTTTGAAGCCCCGCAGCAAGAGTTTAAACAGTTTTTTTTTCCCTCTAGCCATCAGCTGGGACTCAGGAGGCATCATAGATTGGGAATGGGCAGGGTAAGCTAACGGCGACTGGGCCGGGAATCTGTTCGGGGATGTGGCCAGCCAATCTTATTACCGGTTCTCCAAACTATTAAATTTTTTTACTACCGGTTCTTGAGAACCAGTACGAACCGGGAGCAATCCACCACTGGAGTGGCGGGAGGCTCTACCCACCTGCCGGGATGTCATTATATTCCATTTTTGACTCTCTGCACATGCGCAGAAGAGGCGTGTGCTTACACTCCCGAACCGGTAGCAAAGGTAAGTACATTTCACCTGAGGGCAGGACAAGAAGCAATGGGTGGAAACTAATCAAGGAGAGAAGCAACCTATAACTAAGGAGAAATTTCCTGACAGTTAGAATCAGTGGAACAACTTGCCTCCAGAAGTTGTAAATGCTCCAGCAGTGGAATTTTTAAGAAGATGTTGGATAACCATTTGTCTGAAGTTGTTTAGGGTTTCCTGCCTAAACAGGGGGTTGGACTAGAAGACCTCCAAGGTCCTTTCCAACTCTGTTAGTCTATATTATTCTATGTGCCATTACATTACAAGGAAGACTCTGCTCCTTAAGTCCTTATATCAAAGGTATTTTACCTCCCTTTTCTAGATGTTCATGGACCTCTTTTAAATTTTTTAACTTCATGGGCAGAATTTTGCAGATGATACTTCTTACATCATGCATCGGAAAAATGTGAATATCTCTTAGTATTTACATAGCCCAATGCAAGTTAAAGGGACATGATTTGGGAGAAAATTTAGCATTGGAATCAGGAAATAACATAAAAATTATGTTTTCCAAAGACATTTCAACATGCCTCCTTTGTAGTAGTGCAAAGATGCATCGTATCAAAGAATCAGTCGTTCAAATAGATATTGAAGTATCTATTTGCACTGTCGCAATACAAATGTCCCAGGAGTATATACAGTACTTACCTTAACAAGTTTCTTAGGAAAATTACAAATGCAATTTGGGAACTGACTCAGCAGAAACACAGGCAAAGCTGAGATCTAAACCAAATAAGCTTTATTTTTAAAGAATCAATACAGAAATATAAGATATTTTACAGTCAAAACAGTAGGTAAAAAAGGCATTCCCCCCCCCCAAAAAAAGATGTTGAACTCTCCTTCACTGTATGTCTACAAATATTTGTTTGTTTGTTTATTTGTTTTATTTCTAAAGCTACCCATCTGAATAGTTAACTCTGGGCAGGCCACAATCCAAGTAGGGACAGGATTTCCATTTGTCAGTTATGTTTTAAATAAATTCCTGTATGTAGCTGAATTAATATTGAATTTGGCTTATGTGGATCTTTTCATCAACACAAATCATAGGGATTATTCATTCCATTTACCAAATCTTGCCAACGTATTCTTTTTTCCAGTTAAGAAATAACCAGATTCAATAGAGGAGAACACTCAATAATAGAGGGAAAATTTCAACCTGTCTAGAAGGGAATTTATTTATTTATTTATTTATTTATTTATTTATTTATTTATTTATTTATTTATTTAAATTTCTATACTGCCCTACTCCCGAAGGACTCAGGGTGGAGAAGATAAGACACATAAATACAAAAATTTAAAATAGAATAAAAATGAATTAAATAATTTGGCTGAAT